ATATATGATGCATATTTAGTTAATTTATTGTGAATATTTAGGTAATTTCTGATGCATTTTTAGTTAATACAAAATGCATACTTGTTATATTTAAATTAAATATATAATGACATTTATATAGTTAATTTATGATGCATATTCAGTTTATTCATGATACATATTTAGTTTTTACGAAATGCATATTTAGTTCATGAACAGTGCATACATATTTTATTTTGAGATCCAATCATAACAATGTATTTGTGTTATTAATCAATTTAAAATTAAAATTAATTATATAATAAAAATCAATAATTATTATATTGAATTTAATTGTATAAAATGTATATTTTATTGCATATTTTCATTGCATATTTACTTCATTCCTGATGCATATTTAGTGAGTAAAATGTGCATATTTAGTACATAAACAGTGCATACATAGTTGATATTATTGCTGCATATTTAGTTCATAAGGATGACATATATAACTCATTTCTTATGCATATTTAGTTCATACTAAGTGCATAGTACTGTATGCATATTTACTTCATACAAAATGTAGACTAGGGGGTCAATGGTCAACGTCGGAAGTCAACGGTCAACGCCAAAGTCAACGCCGGAAGTCAACGGTCAACACCGGAAGTCAACATTTTTTTGCCGGAAGTCAACGGTCAACGCCGGAAGTCAACGGTCAACGCCGGAAGTCAACGGTCAATTGTCAAAATAATATTTAAATAATTAAAATAATAAAAATAAAGAATTAAGTAATAAAAATAAAGAATTATTATTTAAATGAAGAGTTAAATCTTGGCCACACATCATGTACCAATCTAGTGGCTAGGAATGAGTCTCACATTCACACTTTAAATATGTGTACTCATTGGATCCAATCCCTATATATATATATATATTATATAATATATAAACCTTAAACCACACACACACACACATATATATATATATTTATATAGTTGCTAACAAAAAAAATTATTAAAACTATTTGAATTTTTCGCATGTTCTCATTACAATATAATTTTTTTTAACCAGTAGATGAAACTTAATGAATGATTTTTTAACA